TCAAATTTATTTTTGATCAAAGTTCATTATTAACAGACACTGACAATACTCACAGTCTTCTTTCAAGTAAAGAATATCTTCCATCTCAAAGAGTAATTTTATACCAAATTATCCATCTCCAAATATCATGACTAAATTCTCAGATTTAATAGAAAGCAAAGTCATCTCTGGATTTTGTATGGGATAGAGAGCTTACACTAGAAATTAAATTAAGTAAATATATTTCAGTTTGTGCTGCTTTGAGGTTCCCTCTCCAGATTGATAAATGTAATGTTTGAAAAAGCAGCCTCAAAGTTTGAATAAAAAATGTGGATAACTGAGCACTGAATAGATCTAGCTTGGAGCATTGCTTTGTGCTTTTATATAACTAATATTAATTTTGAATCTATTTTGGAGATACTCTTGAAAGGTTTCATGCCTAGACAAGCTGAAACAGAAAACTTTTAAAACTGTGGAGTGAACATGTTTGATAATTACTGATACTACCAAGAAAAAAGGATCCTGCCAATCCTCACTCACTTATTATACTGAAGTCAGACATTTTCTGGAAATTCACATTGCTAGTGGTAGGAATAAGGATAAATTATAGCACACAGGGCTTTCAGGATCAGCTCATATTGAGTAACTGATCTTACCACTGAAGAGGCATCTTTGGTTGAAATCTAGTCAATAACAATTAGATAAAATATTCTTTCACTTACTAACTTGCCCCTGAATTTCCTTGCTAATGTTTGTGTTTTGCCATAATCTTTCCTCCTCTTCTCTTCTGACTCTTATGTAAAAAAGTCAATATAGGCATCAAGAAAACAGACAAACTTAACCTCACCATGTTCCCCCTAGCATCCGCATCTATGTCTGTACGAAGTCCCACAATGGATGGTAGGAATTCAGAGAGTTCAGCAAAGCACACATGTCCATAACTTTTAGCCTATGAATGAGGCATGCACAAATTTTAAATTATGCTTCTGCTGAAATACTTTGTGAAACTGATGCTTGTACAAGAGAAACAATGTAAACTGCTATCCAAAATGCACAACGTAAAAAAAATGTAATCGAATATTTGGGAGGTATTAAATGGAACTATCAGTGATGTACTGTCCGACATCCTTAAGCCAGCAATGGTTGATGGGAGGAAAGGATCACTCTAGGCATGCCCCATTCATGTAATCTTTCTGTAAAGCGTCTCATACTTGTTACTTCCAAAATTAGGGTTGGAAGGGACCTCAGGAGGTCAGCTAGTCCAACTCTCTGCTCAAACTAGATCATTCCACCCAAAACTTTGTCTAGACAGGTCTTAAAAACCTCCAAAGATGGAGATTCTACCACCTCTCTGGGTAACCAGTCCCAGTGCTTTACTACCCTCATAGTGAGAAAGCTAAACTTCCTTTGTTGCAATTTGAGACAGTTGATCCTTGTTCTGTCATCTGCCACCACTGAGAACAGTCCAGCTCCATCCTCTTTGGAACCAGCCTTAGAATACTGGGCTAAATGATCTGACCCAATAGTATGGTACTTCTCAACAGAGAAAAAAAATGGCTTTAATGTTTTAGTCATTTAAGTGTTACCTGAAATAAGAGTAGATAGGAATATTTCAGACAGAAGTGTAATTATTGGCTTGATATTGATCCTTAAGTGCTTTTCAGAATTAGCAACAATGTTTCTAGAGATAAATCTACTCAGTTTTTAACAGAACATTTAAGGAATTCCAATTCTGAAAAACAAAATATATTGTTAGTTTGTTACATCCACAACTGCTACTTCTAAGCCAATTATCCTTGCTGCTGATTTGTGTGTGCTTTTGTTACAGTATCTGAAATGTATTTTATCTCAGTAAGATTATCCAACATGCAATATAAAATATGAGAGGATTTGGAGAACAATAATGGGAGTTAAATAATAAATGAGGATACAGTGGAACATATCAAATGAAACAGGAACTGCTCAGCATACGGCTATGAGGAAAGAGCAGGCCAGTCATACAAACAGAAGTAGAGTCTGGGAGACTGTAATAATTATGTATGTATCTAGTTTTGTACAAATTCTTTACTTTCTAAGACCCCTGAGCATTAATTTTAATGTTAAACATGTTCTTTTTTGTAGATGTAGTTAAGCTAATAAAAAGACTTGAACCAAACTTTTGACTTCCATGCTAAGAAAACCGGATCTGCAAATTATTCAACAACCAAGACATACTATATTTTAAAGGTCTGGATTTTAACCCACTGTAGCAAGAAAATTCAGAAATAAGGTTGAAAATGTGGGGTGACACTATGGCTTTTGTTTATGCTTTAATAGAAAAAACCCCAACCTAAATGCAAGTTGTCTGAATGGTGAGAAGGCTGTGAATAAATGTTTGAATGTATTTCTTTTCTTTTGTTCTTGAAAAACTGTCTAGTCTCATTTGAGAAGCTGAAAATATAAGCATACCTCCATACTCCCAGAAAAAAACTGGCTGGGTAAAGCTGTGTGAATCATGTAAATGTCTTCCACGGCTAAAATGTGAAAGCTTTTTCTCTCTGCCAGAAATGTTGGCAATAATCCAGGTTCCCCCCAACCTCTTTGAATAATACATTCCCAGTGTTGATAACAGCTGTGAGAATTGAATTCTTTGTGGAGTTATTCTAACCCATGCTGTAAAGAGGACACAATAAACTGACAGGAACAGATTTTCCTGAAAGTTGTTCTGTTGCTTACATAACCTACAACATGTGCTGAAGTTTTCAAAGTTTTTAAATGATTTATCACTGTAAGAAAGTAATCAGAAGAACAGATGCTATAGTTAAAAACCATTCTTTATCAGTGAAGGCATAATGCATAACAGATATGCCGAATTTGTGTGGTTTGTTGTGCTCATCTTGTGGTTTGTATCACATAGCGCAAGTTTTAATCTGGAGGGTCTGGATGCTGGGTACTCCCACAATATGATCAGCAGTTTCCACATTGGTCACCAGAGGCCACTGCAGCTGTATGAATCAAAGTGATGTCGGTAAAAAAAAAATATATATTTTTTTAAATCAACAGATAGATCCAGTGATGGAAGATGATAAAAAATATAGATCGGAATTATATAGAATCGTCACCAGATTCGTTAATGAAATAAATATATTGAAGTGTGGGTCTGCCTGTAAACTGATTAATTTTGCAAGTGCATGCTGTACAGAGCCTGAAAAAAATGAAACATTAATAGAGGGCGCCTGTTTATTTTAAATCCTTAGTATGCCAACAAACGAGGAGGACGGGACACATTGCAATCTATAAACAAGAGCAGAGTGCTTACAACATACATTACACCAACCTTTCCAAGAGGCTGGCCTAGAAGAGCTGCCTCCACGGTTTTAGAGTTTGGCTGGACACAGTTTAAAACAAATCCTGATCACCATCCTCAGAAAAGTTAGTCCACTGGTTATGCCAGGGAGGATGGATGAGAACCCCCCTCCCACCCTATAATCTCCGTTGAAAAATCAGTGTAACGCTGTTCGGGACGGGAATCAACACAATGCTGTAATGATATGAATTTAAGAATTGCCATTGAGTGGGTCAGACCATAGGTCCGCTTCGCCCCCCGGCCTGCGGCCCCCGGAGCAGCGCCCACCACGTCCTCGGACTCACTAGAGGGCCAGGGGGTGCCCAGCGCGGCTCAGCGCGCGCGTTGAACCTCTGCCCTTCGCCCCAGTTCAGCTGTCCCAAGCGATCAGTGATGCGCCCTCGTCACGGCGGTCCTGCTCTCCTCGCGGGGCTTTTGCCCACGATCCGGAACAGCAACAGGCTCGTGGCGCACAGCAGCGTCCCTGGGCGTGCTGGAGGGCCGGCGGCACTGGCCCGGGCGCCGTCCTAGTGCCGCCTGCTCCTCGGCTTTGCCCCGCTTACCCTTTCTTTTCCCCCAAGAAAACGGGGGGGATGTCTTTCTCAGGGAAGCGGGTAGATCTTCTTGGCGCCCTTGAAAGTTCAACCCAGCCCGTGTCTCCCGGCGGCTGACAGGAAGAGGGAGCTAATCTCGACCCATTTCCTGACATCCTGCCTCACGTCCAGCCCCTCTCGCTCCCTGCAGCTCAGAGCCGCAGAGCCTCCCTCGCCTCACCGAGGGCGAAGCTCGCCGGCCACTTTCCCCCTGTGCCGTGCTCAGCCGGGCTGACACAGGAGAGCCCGGCTCCTTCTCCCCCCGGCCCGGCCCGGCCCGGCCCGGCCCGGCCCGTCTCGTCTCGTCTCGTCTCGTCTCGCTCGCGGGCGGGTCGGCCCAGCACTGCACGGCCCCAGCCCGGCGGGAGGCGGAGGCGGGGGCAGGT